ACACTCACCGGACCTGGGCTAGGACTGGGTCTGTATTTTCTACTTTTTGTATTTTCATCCTTTTAGGTATGAGCATGTTATATCTATAATCAGGAAAAAGCCATTATTCCATAAGAAATTTGCAATCCTGGACCTGCTGTGCTGGCCTCATCCCTGGGGCAGGCTAAAACTGAGACTGGCACTGGGACTGGGACTGGGACTGGGACTGGGACTGGGACTGGGACTGGGACTGGGACTGGGACTGGGACTGGGTGTGGTGCTGCACGCCTATAATCCTAGAGATTGGGAGGCTGAAAAGAGGAAGGATCACTACAAATCCAATCTGTGTAGTGAGACCCTGTACTAAATACATTAAAAAAAAAAAAAAAAGAAATTTGTATCAACAGAAGGAAACTGCTTTTTTTTTTTTTGGTGTTTAGTACAGGGTCTACAGGGTCTCACTACACAGATTGGACTCATAGTTATTCTCCTGTTTTCAGTCTCAGTGTGCCCCAGGGGCTGGGCTAGCACAGCACGCTATGGGCTGAGCTATCTGGCCGGCTCAGAAACTGCTTCACACTCCCAAAGTGGAGATGGGAAAACAACAGTTATCTTGGCCAACAAATGCATTCAATGGGTGAACAGGAGTTTAAAGAACAGAGAGGATCAAAGAGCTTCCCACCATCATCTAGCAAGTCTCACCACCCATAGTCTAGCTTTTAGCTTTCCTTGTCAAAACGTCTCCCTTTGGAGTTAGCTCCCTGCAGAGCTGACTGGGCACAGAACTGGTGACAGTGACAGTGACAGTGGTAGCTTGAGATCAGCTATCTGGAAATATTTATACCCTAGAAATCGGCCAACACACAGCTCACCCACAGCCATCTGCACTCGAGGAGTCTGGGTATTTACCAGGGCCCCACTGGGCTACTCTCCAAGTAGGGCACATGGTTCACCTACCCCTCTCCGCCTCCGGATGCTCCCTGCCCAGGGACCTGGAAGGTCACTTTCCTGATCTGCCTTCCAACTCCCATGGTTCCCAAGACAGTGAACTTTACCTTCTTGGTCTCTAGGCTGGGCTTTGGTTAGAAACAGCAGACATTTGACAACTTTCCCTTTCCATCTCTTCCTGCCAGCTTCTTGGAACTTTGCCAGTTTTCAGAAACTTTGTGGCTACAGCCACCCACAACCCCAACCCAGTAGCTCCAGACAGAGGGAAGGAGAAGGAAGTGGTGTTGCCAGAAAGGTTCATAAGTTTCTTCTCCAAAGAATAGGCCAGGTTGATTATTTTCCTTGCTTTTTGAGATTCCAGCCAGAGATAGAAGAAATAAAAACTAGATAGTTGGGGAAAAGGATCAGGATTTTAAAATTGTACTGATTTACAACTGAAAGACACAAAAGTTACTCACACCATTTTCCTGTCCAAGAAACTGACTCAAGAAAAAAAAATTCTTAAAGGTCTCAAAGACAGTAACTTGGCCTGTAAATCTGGGCTTCAGCTGGGCAAGGTGGTATATGCCTGTTATCCTAGCAACTGGGAGGCTGAGGCAGGATGAGGAATACTTGTTGGAGACCAACCTGGGCTATAGAGTGAGTGCAAGGACAGCCTGAACTGCATAATGAGGGTCTGTCTTTAAAAAAAAAAAAAAAAAATACAGGTTCTGGACCTGACATTTCACCTGTCAATTGCTCCTGCTCCATCCCCAAGGACACAGCAATATTGGTGGGCAGCAAATCTCAACTCCAAACACATGTAGAAGTTTGCACGGTCACCCAACGATAGAAACGGCACCCTAGATCACCCACTGGAAGACATCCTCTTGAATCTACCCAGCTCCAGCTCATAATGAGGCTCCTGACCACTTTGTCCATGACAGGAGGCAGTGAACCCGTGAACTTATCCTACAAAATAAAGTGTGGGTTAAGTTCTTTATTTCGGCCTGAGGGTCCTTGGTGTAGGCCAGTGACAAGGCCACGGGAGGGAACATAGATAGGATCTTTGTTATTCACTAGGTTATTACTCTGAGACTGGGGCATCCAGAAGGGGGAGCTCCTACAGGCTGTTCTCTTCAGCCCCCTCTTTCAGGAGCCCCCCAGAGGATATTCCTAGGCTGAAGTTGAAGCAGGTGGTTGCTAAGAAACCTTTCAGCATCACCCCTTGGGAGAGACACAGGTGAGAGGTAGAAATAGGCACCAACACAGGCTGCTCAAGTTTCCAAAGACCCAGCCCCCATCTGGCCCCTCCTCCCACACTGATCCCAAAGAGGCACTGGGGTGGGGTGCAGCTCAGGGCTGGGGCCCTTGCCTAGCATCGTGAGAGCAGAGCACCCCAACAAACAAAGGCAAATGAAAAGAAGCAGCCTCAGATCTGAGCGCACACCCTGAGTCCTTATTTGCCTTATAATGCCGCCTCTCAGAGCTCCCTATGAATGGGAAAGGTACCACCTAATTTTCAGAGATGTGAAGCTAAAAGATGTGAGGTACTTAGCCCAGAGGGGCAATGAACAATAGCAGCCCCAGTTCAGGGAGAGGGGATGCCCCAAGGTGGTACATACATAATCCTGAGATGGGATTCAAGTGGTACCTTAAATTGTAAAACTGCGCCTTGAGCTGGGGAGAGAGCTCAGCAGCACAGAGCCTGCCTGGCAAGTGCAAGCTAAATCAATAAACTTTTAAGAAAACTACAGCTTCCAAACACCATCAAAGGCAACCCAGGGTTCTGATGCCGATTCCACTCACAGCCTTCCTATGTGCTTCTAGACTCTTTTTTTTTTTTTTTTTTTAATTTTAGGGAAGGGTCTATAGGTGTTTAGGGTCTCACTACTAGATCGGACACAGCCTCCCAAGAGCTGGGATTCCAGGCACACGCCACCACGCCCAGTCTTCATCGCTGTCCCAGTGCTCCTGAGGAATTGAACTCCCGGCCCCTATGCCTGCTTGCAGGCACTTTTAATCTGCTGAGCTCTTTGGCGGGCACAAAAGTTTTGTTGTTGTTGTTTTTTGAGTGCAGGGTCTCACTACACCCCTCGGACTTGTAGTGATCCTCTGCCTCCCTAGCGCTGCGATTACAGGTGTGTGCCACCACGCCCGGTCTCCATTGCTGGCTCAGCAGGGGCGGGGCCAGCGCAGCATGTGGTGCCAGAGATGGAACCTTGGCCTCTGCGCTTGTGCAAGTGCCTAGTGGGCTGAGCTATACCGCCAGCCCCGCAGCCTCCTCTCTCTTCAATGCCTAAATCTGTGTGTGTGTGGGGGGGGGCAGCTCAGCCCACCAGGGGGCGGGGCTGGCTGGCATGTGGTGCTGGGGGATTGAACCGCGGTCCCTGTGCTTTGCTAAGCTTGTTCTAAGTAGGTGCTTTAGACCACTGAGCCATCTCACCAGCCCCCATCAATGCCTAAATCTTAAAGGTGCATTTAAGTTTGTAAGTTGGCCTGTGGTTTTAGTACTAGAAATTCATGCATTTCAAGGATTTCGACCCTCAAAAGAACAGTCCTATTAATTGTCCACCATCTCTCCCAACTTCAAACATGTACAAAATTTGCATTTTATTGAACCTACCTGATAAGCCAGGTTTTGCTTTAGCCCAGAATGAGCAACCTGACCCTCAGGAGACAGACACTAGATAATAAGTTAAAAAAAAAAAAAGAGGGAGAACAACCATTTCAGGGCCCCATTCTGTCCCTCCAACAGCTTTCTTTCTTTTCTTTTAAGAGCAGATAATAAATACAGTCTTTTTTAAAAAAAAATAAAAGAAATGAAGGCTGGAGATATAGCTCAGCAGCTTAAGTGCCTGGCAAGCATAAGGTCCTGAGTTTAATCCCTGGTTTAAAAAAAAAAAAAAGGAAGAAAGAAAAGAAAAGAAATTTAAAAAAAGAAAACCATCCCAGGTCACTTGTCCTGAGATATCTTAAAGCTATATAAATCCCCTAACCCCATACCATAATGTTTTTCACCCTTCAAGGATTATACTTAGTGCATATTTCTTTGAGTCTGCTTAATAAAGCTTTCTTTATATTTTATTGACCTGTCCTGAAATGCTTTTCTGTGACCAAAGTGAGTACATTTACCTGACATGAGGGGCGGGGGTGGGGGGTATCTGAGGTCTCCATTTCCTCTTTGTTTTTTTTTTCTTTTTTTGGTACTGGGAATTGAACTCTGGATCTTTTGCTTGCCAAGTAGGCTCTGTGCCACTGAGCCATATCCCTGGCCCTCCATTTCCTCTTTGAGGGAACCTCCTTCAATCTGACTGAACTTTGCTTTTTTTTTTTGGCAGAACTGGGGATTGAACTCAGGTCCTTGCAATTGCCAGACAAGTGCTTATTCTACTGAGCTATCTCCCCAGCCCCTGACTGAATTTTGTTGACCAGGACTTGGAGTCAGAAGAGGTGAAATCCTGGCTTTACCATAAAGCAACTGTGCTGACCTGGAACAGAACCTTCTAGAATGCTACAGTTCATCAAGTAAAACAGGAACTGAATTGTGCCCTAGTCCAAGGGTCATAGAGAGGCTCCTGGGAGATTAGAACTTGACACTGATTCAACAGATAGGTCTACATGTCTACACAGTTCCTATTCTGACCCATGGGTGCCACAGAAAAGTCCAGATCCTCAGTTGAAAACGTGCCAGTTGATTTTATTAACAGCTTGTTTACTGAGCTGAGGACATCCGATGTTTGTCAGAAAAGTTCAGGAACTACAACATCAAAGCCAGTGCATACGATGTTAATATATATTCATTTATTCAACAAATATACATCTAGCAGCAGCTAGGTGCCAGATCCTGGGAAACAAGTCTGCTTAGATGGAATTTCCCTTGTACCACAAAGGTGAAAAACAAGAACCAAAGGGGGAGGGAAAATCCTGAGGGAGCCAGCTGAGAAACTAAAATCACTGAACAAGGTTAGAAAAGGAAGGAGCAAGCGCTTGCTGGCTCTTTCATGAGAGAAGCACATTTTTTTGGTTTTTTGTTTTACTGTTTCATTGTTTCCCCCAATATTTCATAATAAGTATCCTCCAACACGCACGCAGAAAAGCCGAAAGAAGGTGCACACCACGTTCCCCAACTAGAGCCTGTCCCGGGTATTTCACTGCCGGAATTGCATTTTTAAACAGGAAGTTTCTCCCAGGGCTGTTCTGAGCACTTTTGGGACTTTTCCCAAGGACGCAGCAGCTGCCGCTCCCCCAGGCCTGGAGGACGGGCCGGGGGCCTGCTAGGGAGGACAGGGCGCTGAGCCCCAGTGTGGCTGTCACTAATCTGCCAGGGCAGGGATGGGGTAAGAGCTAGGGGTGTGTGTTGGGGGGCCGGGTGTGTTGGGGGTGTGTGGAATCCAAAAGCAACTCTTGTTGCGAAACAAGTCTGGTCGCCTGCTGGGCCCTCGCTCTTACTGTGTGGTCCGAGCCGGCGAATTTGAGACCCGAGTCTCGCAGCTGCGTTTGGCCCGGAGGTCTGGGGATCAGCTTTCCCTCGCTCCGACCTGCAAAGGGTTAGAAAAGGCAGCGATGGCGACCGCCCCGCGCTCGAGAACTCGAGTGACAGCCCCGAGCCGCTGGGCGGGAGGGACCGCCCGCCGGGCCGCCAGTCCCTCGGGTCGCTGCGCGCGTCCTGCGGCAGCTGCGGGGCCTGCTCCCGCCCCGGTGTCCCGGGCGAGGGGACTCGGGGGCGGCCGGCCTGGCCCGCGGGACGCGGCCCGGCGCGCCGCGTGCACAAAGCCCTCCTCCCGGGCCAAGGTAGAGGAAGTTGGGCTCGCGCGGCCCGGGAGGCGGGAGGGAGCCCGCGCCTGTTGTTTTCCGCCAGCGCAGCGGGCAGGCGGGCGCAGGGGGCGGGGTGCGCCTCCCTCCCGGCCGGCGCTCCGCAGAGCGCACGGCGCCCAGCCCCGGACCTCGGCGCACCCCAAGCATCCTTCCTTCTCCCGGGCTGCAGGCATCGGGGCCGCTGTGCCGAGCCCAGGACCCGGGAGGAGCCCTCGCCACTCCGGCGGCCGGATCCCCGGGGCGCACCTCCAGCCCGCCTGGACCCCGCTTTTCCTGAGCCCGGATCTGGGGCGAGATGGCCGCAGGCTGCGGGGCGCCTGAGCCCCGCGTCCTCCTCTGCCTCGGGGCGCTCCTGGCTCCCTGGGTTGCCGCAGGTAAGGGACCTCGATCTGGAGGGAAAAGTTGAGTTTTCCCAGGCAACAATAGGGCGGTGACAACCCGAGCCGAAATCCCTCGGACTCCGCCCGAAGCCGCCCTAGGAGAACCTCGGGTTGCTGCTAGCAGCTCGGCTCTCTTTGCAGGGAAGAATTTTCCCGGGCGCTCGGTGGAGGGAGAGATGTCCCTGCTTCCTAGGGTGGGCAATCGGGACTGCAGAGAGGTAGTGGGGAAAGGAAGAGGCATTTGGAGAGGAGAGAGTGATTTTTTTTTTTTTTTTCCTCCTAAGCCTCGTATGTAAATTCGAGTACTCGGTTTACTTGCGGCGCTGCTGCCTGAACTGCAGGCTCCTACTTCGTTTTCCTCTTCTCCCTGTGCCCAAGGTTAACCGGCCTTACACCTGTAACCTGTGGATTTCCCTATTAACCTTCAAGCCCCGCGGTGCCCAGTAGCGCAGACTATGCTTTCCTTTATTAAAAAGAAATCCTTTTTATTTTCAAATAATTTAAGACTCAGTGAAAAACTTCCCTCACTCTAGACACGATAGGCAAAAGGGCTTAAATGCTTCACCTACACTCTGCTATGTTACAGGAGACTAATAAGAGGGTTGCTTGCAAGAATATGTGGCATATGAAAAGATTAAAAAGTATTTTTGAATGTAAGTCACCAGGTGATCCGTATATGCTGAGTGCAGCCAGTTTTACAAGCAGGGGAGAGATGGGGTGGAAGGAAGGGCGATGAAGGGGGAGATGCAGTGTAGTTTACCAAGATGTAATCCGTTGTTGCCAAGGTTGGCCCGGAGGAGTCCTACTTCCTGTATTGGCCACTCTAGCCCACCCAACTAGTCTCCTCTTTTGCAGGTTTCTAAAGGAGGGTTGTAAATTCCACCTGAACTTCACAGCAGCAAGTGTCAAAAGTTCCCTGTTAGCGGCTCACAAATTTCCATTTTGTTTTGCTTTTAGCATTCATAGAAGTTTTTTTAAAATCCCCAAACCTAAGTTTGGCAACACTGTTCTTGCTTTCCTAGCTGGAACGAAGCTGTGGCCATTCTCTTTTATCCCCACAAATTTGTCCTATCTTTCCCCTGTTATAGTAACTTATCCTTGACCCTCTTCAGACGGGGACCTTATAGTTTGGGCCCTCTAGACATTTGATTATATTCCTTTGCTGGGCAGAGAAAAGAGGAGAGAAATGAAAGGTGATTGTCCAGTATTGCCTTCTCTCAGCTGTGTGTAGTGTTTTTTGGACTGAGCAATGGGGACCCAGAGCCTTGAGGAACAACTGGGACTGAAATCATACTGGCATCAGCCCCCTTCCAGGATGGTAGGTTTTTCCCAGGCACCTGGTGCAGCAGAGAAACAGGCAGAAGGAAAAAGGGAAAGGGGCTTTATGATGTTTGAGGACACAGAATGTGGGGAAGATGAATTCATTTGGAACAAAGGGAGGCTGAGGCTTTTATGGCCTTTGCTAGGGGTGGAGTTGGAAGGGGATGTTTGGATGTACCTGAGGGAGCTGATTGGGGGTTCTTTTCTGAGGCAGCAGGAAGGCTGAAAGGAAATTGTACCCTGGGCTGAGTTGGAGAAGAAGCGGGGAGGTGGTTTTGGGCAAGATGGGCTTTTGTTTGAAGGGCATCAGTCATATTAGATGACCAGCATAATGATTTCAGCAATTTATACTAGTGCCAGAACCTATCACAGGGTGGCTGCAGCTCCCCATGGGGGGACCTACCTCACTGCCACACCTGGTTACTTTGTCTTTTTTTTTTTTTTTTTTTTTTTTTTTTTTTTTTTTTGAGACAAGATCTCACCATGTAGTTCAGACTGGCCTTCAACTTACAGTGATCTTCCTGCCTCAGCCTCCCTGGGTGGAATTACATGCATGCCGCCACACCTGGTCAGACCTGGTTATTTTGATGCCCAGGCCTGCTTCATCAGTTTGTACAGTGCCAGGGACTTCCTGGGCATGCTGTAGTTGTTGTTTTGCTAGTCAGGAACTTGAGAAGGGATGTTCTCGTAACACTCAGCTCCAGAGAGTGCGAGTGCATCTACTTGTCACCTGCATGGTATACCTCAAGTCATTAAAAAAAAATACTTACCTCATTACTGTATTATTCAGAGCAGTTTTGAAAGTTTGACTAGCCTTTCATATTTTCCTATAGTCATTCAAATAATCTCTTTCTACCAGCTTATACTCCGGGTCATTTTTGGAAAAGTTGCTAGAAAAAGATAAACATGTGGATCTAGCTCTCTAAATAATATGAGGGCAGTATTAAGAGAATTGTATTGGGGCCAGTGAGATAGCTCCACAGTCTAAAGCTCCTGCTTAGGAAAGCTTAGGCAAGCGCAGGGACCGCGGTTTGATCCCCAGCACCACATGTGTGCCAGCCTCATCCCCAGGTTAGGCTGAGCCAGCCATACACACACATATACACAAAAAGAGAGTGCTGTATTGTTCCCTCCCTCTTTTGTTCCATGTTTTGAATTTCAAGTGGGGGAACAAGGGACCCCCAGATACCATGTAGGAGGTACCTTGTGGATACCACAAGGATTTCTAATCCTTGTGACTTGGAATACTCAAAACCACAATCCCACATCTCCCAGTGACTTGTGTGGGATCTTCATTCAATCACTTAACCATCCCAAACCTCAGTTTTTTTCAGTAGTAAAGCAGGGGGGTATGGGAGCATCTCTCCTGGAACTAGCGGACCTGCAAAAACCACCCTTTCTCAGCTGTGCCAGACATTACTAATCAATGGCTGTGTGCTCCACAGAACCAGGGCTCACCCGCACATCTCTGAACTAGGTGATCTCTAGGGTAGCCTTGAACTTCAGCAGTTAGAAAAGAATGCAGTAGGCAGAGCCAAAAAGAGAAGTTCCATGCCTTTAAATGGTTTCTTTTGTGACCATGTCATTCTCTTCCTTGGAGGAGATGACCGTTAGCTCAAGTTCCAAGATTAGAGTTTCACCTGGGCTTTTCCAAGCCATTGTCCCGTTATTCCCTTGGGGGGGCAGGCCCGCATGGCTCAGGGACACACACTGCAGCTGTCACTCTACGGTTCACCCTCCTGCCCTCCTGGGGGGACTGCCACCCGAGAACTTGGGTTGCCTGCCTAATCATTTGAAAATTATCCTCACCTGCTTTCCAAAGTGATCGGTCAGGAACATTTCTTGCTATTTGAGAATCTGTAGCATTGCCTGACCTTCTGTGGCTTTCAGCGAACAAATTAGATTTTTTTTTAAAATGCTGCCCTGGCATGAAAGTCTTTGGGCAACAATGTGGCCAAGGTGGTAAGAGAATCAACTTTATGGGCCTGTAGGGTAACTATAGGTCTTTTAAAAGGAGACCCCTTCTAATCACATATAACTTCCTTTTGCTCTTATAAATGAGAACACTGGGGCATGGTGGCACATGCCTGTAATCCTAGCACTCAGGAGGCTGAGGCAGAAGGACTGCTGTGACTTCCAGGTCAGCCTGGGCTACATAGTGAGTTCAAGGTCAGCCTGAGCTACATAGCAAAATCTTGCCTTAATGAGAGAGAGCGAAGCGGGGGTGGGGGTGGGGAGGGGGACAGGGGACTACCTAAGGACAAGTGACAGAGTATCTTTTCTTTTTTTTTTTGCAGAACCGGGGATTGAACTCAGGCCCTTGCGCTTGCCAGGGAAGCGCTTATTCCACTGAGCCATCTCCCCGGCCCCAGAGTATCTTTTCATAGCTTTATTATGATATTATTTGCATACCATAAAACCTGTCCCTTTAAAATGTACGACTCTGTGGCTTTAGTACATTCACAAGGTTATGCAACGATCACCACTAATTAATTCCAGAACATTCTCATTTGCACAACAGGGCCTGCCTGTACTTCTGTCCCTGTTGTCTCTCTGAATTTGGGTCTTGAATGTAAAGGGGTCTGCAAAGTTGGGGTGCGTCTCAGGAAAATGGGTTATTTTTGTTTCTACATACTCTCTTAGTTAAGATGAGACAATTGCTGTTAGTATCTGTCACCCCTGATTGGGCATTAGGGTCACTGTCACCACCTCCACCACCACCACTGCCCTCCCACCATGCCACCCCTGATTCTTATTTGGATTTGGATGTGGTGTGTGTTGTGTTATTAATAGTTTTTATTTCTTTTTTCTTTCTCGTTTTGGATTTTTTGAGACAACATCTTGCTATGTAGTACAGACTGGCTGCATAGCCTGAACTTGCTCTTGTAGCCCCGGCTGGCCTCAAGCTCACTGCAATCCCCCTGCCTCGGCCTCCTGAGTGCTGAGATTAGAGGTGTGTGCCACCATGCCTGGCCTAGTTTGTATTTCTAACAAGACTACTGCTCTGGCCAGCTTTGTTTTATTTTTATTTTTAAAAAAATATTTATTTATTTATT